AGAAACTGATCAAAATTGTCTTCATGCATCAGAATCGTTTCTGGAGAAGGACACACACAGTAATATAATTTCTATTCCAAATTAGAATGCACGACAAAAATCCCTGGGATTCTATCGAATACTACAATGTGAAACTGGAAATTGATAAGTACTGAACCAAAGAGGTCAGCTAAAAAATTCAAATGAATGAAAGAAACCAACATGCATAAAACGCAACCTCGAACCGAGACACTCTGAAGGGAAGGACTTTTACACTCCACTCAAACTTGCATAAATAACTAACATACACAGAGAAACCAAACTAGAAGACGAGGAAAACACAGCGGAAGTGAAATCCTCAATCTTACAAACTTTTGGTTAAATAAAAATGTTACAAATAAAAACATCAAACTAAGTAATAATAATATATAAATATATATTAGGCTTTGCTGAGTTTTATTTTGCTATTGTGGAAACGCATCATGATATACTTTATATTCATGAAAAATAAATCCTCACTGAATTTCGAGCTGAGCATACATAGAGAGTTTGAAAAATCTTACCAACATTTTCACACAATCTTTAACCTGAACAATAACATGTGTGACAAGTAATACACAAAATTAAGGATCCGTGTTGTATTTAGCTCTTTGGTAAGGCAACAAAAACATGAAAGTATGGAAAAATTAAGTCTAAACTGGTGGCGAGTTACAAAAAACAACAACAACATATATTTCTTATTAGTTACAGTGTGGTTTAGGGCTATATTAATAGCAAATCACGTACCTATTTTCTACGCAGTTGTCCAATGCTGATAAACAAGGACGTCAGGTGTATTAAACTATTACAGCATGAACGTTAATTACGTATTTATAAAGTCAACTTTCCATTTTTCATATCATTTAGTTACGCAGTGGGATAACTTCACCACGTTATGTTACAACGCTAACTAACAGATTGAACCAAAGGGAACATAATGTTACAACCCTAACTAACAGATTGAACCAAAGGGAACGTAATGTTACAACGCTAATTACCAGATTGAACCAAAGGGAGCGTAATGTTGCAACCCTAACTAACAGATTGAACCAAAGGGAACGTTATGTTACAACCCTAATTAACAGATTGAACCAAAGGGAACGTTATGTTACAACCCTAATTAACAGATTGAAC